TAGTTGCAGTTTCAGCAACCAGATGACACACAGGATGCTACATAACTATGCAGAGAAATGTTGTTTTGAGGTTGACCACTTAGAAAGCTCTACTCTTAAATACATCATGGACTCAATAGCCTTCACCTAGAAGTAATAGCTTAAGTTTTATGGCATTTGAAAAATTAGTAAAGGCAAACAAGGTGGAATAAAGCATATAAGCCTAGAAAATGAAAGGAAGAAGGTTTTGAGATGCTTTCAAACTTCTATTAAAGTATCCTCTACATAGCTGACAATAAAATTTCCACTGTGTTTGTTTGTTTTTGGATTCCATTTCTCATTTTATTTTTAAAATTGCTTTTCTCTTTCAGAAAATGTTTCCATCAAAAATGCTATCCAATAGCATAGTAACAGTAATATTGTACATCTTTGAGACTCTCCCATCCTCCAGGCCCCATGGAAGTCAATAAACCCAGGAACGGATTTTTAAAAGACAGATGTTTTTGTTTATGCAAAACTTTTAATTTTTCAAGAACTATAGCAGCTCTGGTTAATGTAATCTATCTTATTTAGTTAGTCTATAAAGGTACATATCTACCCTATCTTCTGACTGAGTTCAAACTAACGTGGCTAACTATCTCCGTCTTTCCACCCCCCCTCCCCCGTAAAAAAGCTTAATTGGTAATATCCCAGATTTACAAATTTGGGAGGAAAGAGAAAAGGAAATACTTTGTTTCTACAATGTACAAATGAACCAGTAGAACTCACTGAGACAAAAATATGATTCAGGCCAAGAGCTTAATAGGATTAAGTAAGATTAGATATTTATATGGATGAGAACATTTACAGCTATGTTAGATAGCATTAAAATTTTAACACACATAAACCCTCATGCTTCAGGGCATAAACCAATTATTAACTGGCAGATGCTGGGGAGACACCTTTCTTATGGACAAATGATTTGGTGATTACGTGTTACTGGCTTTCTTGCACCTTTTGCTAAACTTTCACAAGGTAATAGCTGTTGTCAGAGATTGGATTACTGGCTTAATTTGGGATAGCGATTACTTAAGGCTGCAAGTAAAGAGCAACTCAGCCCCCATATCTGGGAAATATTTCCTTCCCCACTTGATTACAGTACTGTGTTAAGAGGGCCTGCATCATTCCCAATTCTGTTTGCCCAGCTATACAATACTCTTAATGACATTTACCTGATGAATATCAGTTGATAACTGACCAGTTAGGCAACTGATAGCCCACCAAATGAAAATATTAAACCAATAAGCATTAAGTTTTGTCTCCTTACCAGCTGTGGTGTGATCCAAATTGATATTTGTGTATTGGGTTATCTCAGTGGAACCTTCTGTTGTGTGGCAGGTATTAATCAATGCCCACTTTCTCCCAAATTTATTTATTAAGTAATTTAATAAATGTAACTGTTAATATCAATAAACAGCACAAATGGCCTTTATATGCATGGTATTAATTTGGCATTTTAATAAAAGAGAAAGGAGTATAAAAAGTACAAAGTAACTTTTTATTTTACTCAAACTACCTTCTCTTCTCCTGGCATTACAAAGTACAGTAGTAACTTTTTTACAATGGTATTTTCCTTTTTACCCCCAAAGTCTGTCTAAGGGTTTAATGTTTTGGGGAAATTTTTTAGGCAAATTCTGAACAGTTTGGAAAATGTTTTCTTCTGTAAATCAGTCCAAACCTGTTCTACTTCATTGGATCTTGGAAGGTGTTAATTAAAGATTTAAGATTTTAAGAAGTTGTTTTGAACTGAAAACAAGACTTCCTTATCTCTAGTATGTACCTAACTTTTACCATTCATCGGCTAGGGCTTTCTAACTAAAGTAGTCCCTACTGGCCCTTAAACTTGTTTTCTTTCTCTTCTAGCACAGTTTACACTAGCATGGCTTAAAAATTCATTAGCATTTCATTTTTATTTATGCCTTTATTACAAATGATAACAAAGGTTTTTTAAAAAGTTTGGCTAGGAAAGTGGTAGCATAATTGTACAACTAACAGTATAGTGAAACAAACTATATAGGGTTACACAACATTACATGTTGCCTGTATGAATAAATTAATTTCTATGCATGCTGTAGTTTGAGTCTAGAACAGGGGTTCTTGATCAGGGTGCTGTGATATCCAAAGATGGGCATAGAAAAATAGCTGCTGCAGCAGGTGATGCTGTCCCGTGTACTTTTCACGCTTATGTGATTCACAAGATAAACCCATTGAGTTGAAATAATAGGAATTCAAATTAGGTCAGAAACATTGGGTGCCTGTACATGTTCTGAGAGGCTGCTCTGATGTGCTGTAATTACAGTACATCGGAGCAGACTTGATTAATTGAGTCTGCTGGGCTGGAGCATGTTAATTATCATTCTCCAGCCAGGTTCTGCATCTCGTGTATTAGTGTCCCTGCACTTCAAAATGGTGGTGGGAGCACTGTAATAAAGCTTGTTTGAACTTTAGATAAAGTGCCTCCACTGCCATTTTGAAGTGTGAAGACACTGATGCATGAGCAGCTCTGGGCATTTTAATTAGAGCGGCTCACAGCGCGCTAAAGTGCCCGCTCCTGCACTCCTGGTGCACGTGTAAAAACACCCATTCTGACCTGTTGTGGTATAGTATTTCTGAATTTTTTTGGAAGAGAAGAATTACCCTATTTATTTTTTCTGTGGTCAAAAAACAAATGAAAGTAAGAGTTAATGTTTTTGGAGGGGTGCTTTGAGCCTAAAAAGGTTGAGAACCACTGGGTTGTCTACATATGCAGACAGGGCAGCTGTCATGTTACATTTCATTTCTGTGAATCTCAGAACATTGTACCAAGGTGGGAAGGCACTGTTTGCCCCAATTTAGAGATTAGATAATTAACTCAGAGCTAATATTAAGTATTTGACTAGCCATACTACAGAAAAAAATGATAACTTGTATGACTGTAACAGGAGAGCCTTGTCAAAATACATGTAGTATTTTATAGAATAGCAGTGCCTTTTTGTCGTTGCATTGTCCATTTTGAACAGTTCAGTGTAAATGTTAAGAATAGTGCATTACTTTCTGCTGAACTTCTCTGGTCGGATTCCTAGATACAGTTTCCACAGGCTTCTGTTGACCTTTGTTGCTGGATTATATCTATCATGGCATTTTTTGAAACCATAACATTTTTATAGGTCCTTCTTCCTTCCTCTGAATTCCAAATCGTACTTTGTTTTCCTGTTTTGGGACTGTTGGCAAGATCTTTCCTCTTTTGGAAGTGGTTTTCTTAGTGTGTTTATACAACCAGTGACAACTGATAGTTTTGTCTCTTTCACAGCACCAGTACACAATGTCTTTCTTCTGTTTAGTTTGTGTGATATAAAGGATAACTCATGTTTAGAATGTTCTCCATTATTTTAATAAGTACTATGTTTTCAATTACATGGTTAACTGAGAACTTATTAACTGGCTAAGAATTAAAGATGTGATAGAACAAAGGAAAACCAGAAAAACCCAAAAACTTGACAATGTCAAACATGATTGAAGGATTTTCTGCCTTTTCTGTTAATGGGAAGGAATTACGATCCTTCTATCCAGATTAGTGGAACCCTCCAGCAAAAAAAGGTTTCTTCAGTGTAGGCCAAAATGAAAAGACAATTTGGTAGGCTTCCTCAGCACTCCGTTTTGAAAGGCTACCCCTGTTATGCATTTCTTTTTAATATGTACTGAATCTTTTCTTTAATATTTCTTGAGGTGATGCCACCTATTGTTGTTTTCTTTCTTGGATCTGTCAAGCATATTTTAACAAACTACCTCCTGTCCCTGCAGTGGCAGGACATTGACAGTACCTTCATCCTGCTTTATCTCTGACTCTGTGTTTGATATTTCCACTGTTGTCCCTGGTAATTGTGCAAGAGGATTCTTTAATGCAATTAAGAGTAGGTTTAAAGGAACACTAGTATAGGATGGTATAGACACAGAGGACTTACTTTGTGATAGGGGTTGGACTAGATGACCTACTGAGGTCCCTTCCAGCCCTACTTTCCTATGAATCTGTTAGTAGCCTCCTATCTTTTGGAACACAATATCATTCTTTTTCTTCGCTTTTAATTCAAAAGGATTTATATCTTGTGATCATGGACTTTAGAAAGGAGTAAAAGTATAAACATTTAAAACTACCTTTAGTTGATATTTAGCTCCAAATGGCAAACTACTATGTAGTGAATGCCAGCACAAGGGAATTCAGTTCCTATTTTCATTGTACCCGGAACCCTTGGTCCTAGTCCTTTTGAATTAAAAGAACAAATAAGCAAAAATCCTAAAACCAACAAAAAGCAAATAAAAACCTTCTAGTGTTGCTTTCTTTTTCTTATTTGCATGATTTAAAATGGGGATTCTTGGCATGTTAGGCAGTGGGATTAAACATCTGTACTATAGAAATTTGGTTGGGGGAAGCTTTTGACAGTATATGCAAGAGAGAAAAATAACCTAGGGTTCTTTTCCTTTATTGGAAGCATATATAATGTATTTATCTAACTTAACTTAAACGAATTGAATTGGTTCATTTGATCAGAAGAGTAAGTAAATAAGATGCGTCCAGCTAGCATATATCTGAAATGGTACATGCTAACAAAGAGAATAAGTGCAGAAGAATATGTTTATCTTAGGAAGAAACTGGTTGGGAGCAATTGATGCATAAATTCCAGCTGAATAAAAGGGGCATGGATTAAAAGCTTGCCCATAGGAGAGATTATTTGACTGCCATTGTAGAATCTAGTTGACGTCATGGGAGATGGTATTGCTAACTCAATGAAAATTCTTTGGATTTCAGTGGATGTTTCCTTTTTAGAAGGGAGTGCTATAGCCACTAAATGCCAAGACATGAATGAATTTCATTTCTTTTCATTAGTATGAGCTGTAATTGTTCAGAGTTGAATCATCTGACTTTCAGGTACTGTAGATGCAAACATTCACCTGCTGTTCTGTTTTTACTCTGACCTTTTTTTCTTTCTTTGTTTCTCTCTTTTAAGAAACGATTGAAAGCAGCAGAAGCGGAAAGCAAGCTAAAACAAGTATATATACCCAACTAGTAAGTATCGCTTCTTGTTGGTGTGTTTCCTAACTTATTGCAATGGGGCTGTGTATTGGCAGTCTCTGTTGTTTGGAAGTATGATGCAGAGTTTTTCTTGTAAAAATAAAATAGAGCAGCCATAGTAGAACATGCATGACAGAAGGGTTAGCAATTAAGATAAATATGAGTAAGAAGATTATTCCAGTCTTTTAGAATGAGTTAGTGTTCATTTGAACTTGAGCATATATTTGTCATCTGTTATCTATAGCTAAGAACTCTGGTGTCTAATATGGATCAAGTGGGGAAAAATGGTCCCATCTTAGATCGGAAAATGCCCTATTACTATTCCTTACAGACTATTGTTCAGTGTTTTGTAGGCACATAGACATTTATAAAGGCAAGGATATCATTTATGAGTTGTGTTTTCTTACTAACTGCATTGGCAAAATGATAATGCTTAGGAGTGTGTGAAAGAAAGGAGAATGCCCTCTTGTACTTTTGGGTAAGGCTGGCTAAGAGCATGTAGTTATACTGTGTACACAGCAAGGGAACACTCTGGGGTTCTGAGTGCTTCAAATGGTGCCTACTGTCTTGGGCTTCCCAAATTATGGCTGCAGTGTAGTTTGAGGTGGCTCCTTGCTTTCTCTGCCCCTGCCATAACACTACCATGCAGGGCCATAACTAGAACCTAAAAATTTGGGGTCTTTTAAAAAATGCAGAACCTTTGAGTTGGTATTTTTATCTATGGAACATAGATTCATGACTTTGGTATGAATTAGGAGTATAATCAACAAAAAGGAATAGCTAATAGCTGATGAATAATAATAGATTGGTTTTAATTAATGTTAACTTATAGAGGATTGTTTACCATAATACATTTCCTTGCACCTTGTCTGTTCTAATTCTTACAGTTCAGTGCTGTGGAACATCTGCTTCTTCCTTTTAGACTCTCTTCTGCACTATAATATAACCTGCTGTCAGGCAGGTTTTTTTTATATAGAACTTGATTTTTTTTCCCTTAACTACTAGGGATAGTCCCTGGGGTACTACCCTAAATAATTCCTCTCCTTCCTTTTATGTTAACACCCTTCAAATATTTATGAACTCTTACCATGTGTCCTATTAGTCATAGCAAAGTCAAGATTTACATATGTAACAACTCAGTCCCTAAGCTTCTGATGATTCTTTTTTCCTCTCTTGAATTCCTTAAAATGGGTCAATATTTCTCCGATAGCAAGCCATCCAAAACAGAATGTAGTACTCGAGATGAAGTCAAAAGCATTTTTTTTGTAATCTTGTTGTTTAGCCGTAACGTTCTTCATGGAAGCTATTACTGTTTATGTGGCAGTGAGCATCAGGTTGCATACGGATCTACAGTGTTGATGGACTTTAGGTATAAATGTGTTACAAAGAAATGCTAATTTCCTATCTCCATTGCTCCAGTCACATAATGAAATATTTCTCAGTCTTGTGCTTGCTGTTTAACTGTTCCCTATTTCCCATACTTGGACTTTTTTGCAATACAGATTGAGGTCATACAGTTCAGTATACACAAAAATTTGCCCCAGAATTTTTACTGTAAAATCGTTGTGTGATGTATTGTTGAGCTCATTAGGTGCCTGAACTCATTAGCCAGTAAAAACTTGGAGAGACATTTCACCCATACCTTGTGCCTATTTATCCAAAATCTTAAGTTCAATGGAATTGCTTTCATAATTGTTTGGAAAATTGACAAACAATGGAAGAAGAATCCAGTTTGTAAAGTGGGTGCTGTCTGATGGTAAATCTACTGATTTGACGTGAGCCTGTCTGTCGCAGAGTGGGGCCTACGAGCGGCCGTGATCCTGCTAGCGCCCCCTTGCCGTGGCAGTTAGGAGATCAGCACCCTCTTATTCTCGCCCGCCACGTCTTTGATCTCATA